CCCCAAAACCCCAAAACCCCAAAACCCCAAAACCCCATAAAATTTAGTCCAAGTTGAAGTTTATGAGGCTTATAGTGCAAAAATATTGAGAGATAGATCATGTACTTCATCCATTGCTAGTGAATGCCTCATTCTCTTTCGCTTCTTCTTAAAGCTACAGAAGGCCAGTCTGTGACTTATATTGGCTTTCAAGTCTCAGTTACCAGGGAACATAGTATGGAAAAGTTCTATTTGTCTGATTTACATCTCTCCCCATTATTTTAGTTAGAATTAATCATAAAAACACCTGATCTATAATCTAAACTCAATGTTTTAGTTCTAATTTCATGGGTTTGGCTAAAATTCTTTTGATTAAAATATGAGAAAGTGAAAATTATTGAGCTATCAAAGCATATAATCAAGTCTAAGGGCAATAGTCACTTTTAGCAATACCTGTGGATTTTGTGTTAAAGGTAGTAAAATTTTGACTGGTGTACCCACTTCTAAACCCATCTTGGAAGTTGTACATCTTCTTTTGGGTTTCTAAGCTCTTTCTCAGAGTACTATAGCTAGTAGAATTACCTGGACTCTTGATTTTTCTTTTATATGGTCTCTCTATAATCCCATCATTAAGATTTACTTTGAAGGAGAGAGTGAAGCAGTGGTCCTTCAATTATGAGTCTAGCTTCAGATTGAGTTTGCAAGGTCTTCAGTGTAGTACAGGGAAAGACAGCTTGGCCTCGTTTCATTTTTTGAGAATTCTTGAACTACTTCTTTTGAAGTAACTTCCTGGCCTTAGAACATGAGGTTCCTTTCCTGGCTGCCCACTTAATCTTATCCCTCCTAGTGGAGGGTTGTGGAAAATTATTCGAACCATAATCGTTATGAGGTGTCTTTTTCGGGATCTTGTACATGCTATTGTCTCGAACAGAGGCTTTTGTGGTTCATCTTCTGTAACCAGATTATCTTTTGGCTATTCCATGTTAGGATAGGATAAAAATTACTTTGGAGCCTGCTCAAGGAGATCTTTTACGAAGTTCTAGAGAGTTATGCTTTATCTTACCTTTCTTTGGAATCATCTTAGTACTTTTGTTGTATAATTGTTGATGAAAAGTCTAGAAATTACCTCAAATATTTCCTTAGAATTGGATAGGTTTGGAGTGCTCCGCTCGTTGACTATTCTACTTTTTGAATTCTTATGAAGGGACTTCTTAGAATTTGAAGAAATTTTGAACTTTAATTTGTTCTAAAGCTCATATTTTTAATGTACCCTTTCTCTTATCTGAAAGTTGAGGTTCCTTCTGATGATGGCTCTCTTGCTGAGACTAATCTAGATATCTAAGAAAGTGTAATGTACCTTAGTTTGAGGAATTTTAATCACTAATTTTTAAGCCCAATGTTTTATTTAATATCCTTTTTAAATAAAATACTGAGAGATTTGTTCCTTCCTTCGGGAGTTTCGATTTCTTTCATGATGCTTTTAATATTCTTGATCATTTTATCATTCTTTGAGGATTGCATTACTACAAAATTAATGGAGGTTTACTGCTATTTTTACTTTTCTTTTTGACAGGTAGCTGAGATAGCTTAGCAATCTCCTTTTCTGCTTCTTCCTTAAATTCATTTTGAAGATCCTAGATATTAGATTGAAGGAACTTATTCAAATAATTATTTATTTCCAAGAATTAGATTTAATAGCTTGCCCCATGATTTACTATGAAATAAGAGATGAACATTTTTGAATTATTTGATGAAAAATATTTTGAATCTAGAGATTTGAAACAGCTATAAGAAATATAAGTGTCTCTAATGCTATAAACAAAACCTATCAGTATTTCAACCATCAGTAGGCTTACTTCTGATCGCTTCCTCTTCTTGTGCCAAGCTGATAATCAAGCTAAAACTATTATCTCAATCTGCTAACTTTGGAGTCCTTGTCAAAATCCATATACATAAAAATAATACAAATCAGAGACACTAACTGGAAATAAATAATAATGCAAAATTGGCATTGCAAAATAACTCAAAACCCCTTAATTTGAGCTTAAATCTCTTATAATCCCGCAACAAGCCCATTACGTTATATACTTCCTCCTAACTCTCTCATCATTATACGCCCCTATCATAAGCTCAATTTTATTCCTAAGCTCTGTCTCTAAAAGAATGGAGTAATCCAGCCTAGAAATATTCAACCAGGTTCAAAATTCATAAAAATCTTAATAAAAATTTACCTAAGTTCTGCCTCTGAAGTGAAGTATTGAAGACAGTGAGGGAAGGAGGCAGTAGATAGAGAAATAGAGAAATTTTAAACCAAGAATTAGAAAGTGAATTTATGGTGTAAATAGGCCAATGGCTTTGGGATTTTATGAAAATGTGTAAGTGCTGAAGAGGATTTTTACTAGATTTGGTCATTTTGAGTAGTGTTATGGGGGAATAAATGTGTTTGTTGAGAATTTTAGTGCAGGTTCAGAAGAAGAGCATAGTGTTAAGGATTTAGAGAAGGGATAATAATTTAATGGCAACAATTGATAATTTAAAAGTTCTTCACTTAAAGGAACTTTGTATGACTTTCTATAGAAGATAATTAAATAAGAATCGAGAGATTACATCTTGTTGATAGGATCAGGTGAGGATCGAGTTTCGCTAATTCTTGGTCTAAAGTTTGTATGTAGAGCGTCTGTCATTTTCTTATTCAAAACTCTTATATCTGAAATATTTAATAGAGTAGTACCAGCACTCATCTCTTCAATATTTAAACCTCATGAGGGTTTTGGGGTTTTGGGGTTTTGGGGTTTTGGGG